ATGTAGTGTAATTCGTGTGACATACGAAAGTGAAGAAGAAAGAATAGCATTCTGAAATTTTGATCCGGTTTTTATACATTGTGTTCTTTATATTTCCCGTATTTTATAACAAAACACTATTTCCTTGACCTTTTTGTTCCATGTTTGATTCATTCACCAAAGACGAGCAATCTGAATCCACGCGCAAACTCTTCACAGTGATTTCACGCTCTATTCTTCCCCCAAATGCCAACAATAGCCACTTTCTAGTAATCATCATCTGCGGCACCCAATCTTCACGTTTCAATTTTCTTGATTTCTCTGTTCTTTTGTCCGAATCCTGCATTTTGATTTCTTCGATTAATCCGTTCTAACCCCAAGTGTTTGTCAAAACAATTGATCAATATCAGTATTTTTAAGAATTTTGAATCCGAATCTCGAATCCAATTCGATCTTCTTCATTGCACGATCATCAAACACAGGTCAGATTGCTGTTTTCAGACTCTAATTGTTGCTTATGGTGTAACTTTACTTATCATTGTTAAATTAGGGCTAGCGGCGTAACTTTACTTTTCAGATTCTAATTGTTTTCATGGTAACTTATACTTTTCAGACTCAGATATCAGTATAGCGGTGCTTGCTCTCATTGTTGATTATCGTTATCACTTATGTTCTATTGTTTTTGTTGATTGGCAATGTGTAAAGATTCGATTTTTACTGCCTCGATGATGCTATATCTTAGATTTTTGGAAGTGGGCTTGATTCAGAAACTTTTATTTTTTTGCCCTTTTGCTGGAAATTGAAAATGGCTAAAAATCTTCATATAAAGTTTAACATTAATGTTGCTTTATTGTTTTTTTTATGTAATTTGAACCGAAGTAGTTCTGTATTCCGTTTTTTGTGCACTTATAGATCTCATTAGTTTTCTGCTTCCCTTTTTTGATTTTTGGCTGAGACTATTCAGTATGCCTGCATTGATGCAAAAACCACTCAACCCTGGATTTTTCATCTTCTGATGCAATCACCTAACGATACCGGGAGTAAGAATAAGAAATATAGCAAACGCCTGAGATCTTCTCCTCAAGAAATGCCTTCCACCGAGACAAATACCTCGAATGCCCTCGACGATTGCCTTATATTTCCAGTTGAGGAAATCGTGCAGTACCCACTACCGGGCTACGGTATACCCTCTGCTATAAGTTTCAGCCCAGATGATAGCTTAGTTGCGTATTTGTTCAGTCCCGACCAGACTTTGAGTAGAAAACTGTTTTTATTTGATACAAAAAGTGGGAATCATGAATTGTTTTTTAGCCCACCTGATGGTGGTGGTCTTGACGAGGATAATTTGTCGGCCGAGGAGAAATTGAGGAGGGAGAGGCTGAGGGAGCGTGGCCTAGGCGTGACCCGGTATGAATGGGTCAAGTCGAGCTCCAAGAGAAAACGGGTTATGGTGCCTCTTCCAACTGGGGTTAGTTTACGTACAAACCATTTCTTGACTTATTATTTGGTGAAAGATGTCAATATTATGAATCTAGGAGTTTAATATTCTTTAGTGGAGAAAGTGTTGTCTTCTTTTATATGGAAATCTTTGTTTTCGCAAACATGATTGGCCCAATCGGTCTTCCAAAAAAAGGCAAATTGGTTAAGAACAGGTCAAACTCGAACCATTGCAAATTGTTTTTCATATATATATTCAATATCTTTCTCATAACTAACAGTACATGTAGTCATTCACATTATTTATCAAAACAGGGGTTTTTCATGATTTTAGAAAAATTATTCCTTAAAACAGTGTTAATTATTTGGCTTTTAATCCCATGATCCCATCGCTTCACCGGTTTAATGGCTGGACTTTTTTGGGACCTTGACAAAGACAATATCTGAACATGTGTATCATATGAATTGCATTTATTTTGTTTGGCTATTCAACAATGGCTATCCATGTGCAGATTTATACGCAGGATATTGGGGACAAACCACAGCTTAGGCTTCCATGTGAGTCTGACTCGCCAATTATAGACCCGCACGTGTCCCCGGATGGGACCATGCTTGGTTACGTGAGGGATAACGAGCTTCACGTGTTAAATTTTCTCTACAACACGTCCAAGCAGTTGACTGAGGGTGCCAACCAGACCACCATAGTAAGCAAGATTATATGTACTCTATTATGCTCCAGTTCACATAAAGTAGAAATTCTTTAATTACTAGGATCGAAAGAAATATGACAATAAATTAGGATCTTTGGAGGGAAAATGATGAGAATCCTTAAATCCCTAAAAATTGCACATGCATATTCGAGTTGTTTCTGTCATATGAAGTGTTTATATTTTGCCGATCACCTGCCTCCAATGATAATATTAAAGGTAAATCAATTAAGTGCCAATTTATTTTGACGCTTTACGCATACGCAGCTATTTTATTTGCCTTTTGTTGTGTTCTATTATTTAGTTGTAAGGTGACAACACTCTGAAAGAGTTCAACATTTATTTAGTTTTGCTAGTGCGCAAAAACTGACATTTCTTATGTTGCATTTTCAGACACACGGCCTAGCAGAGTTCATAGCACAGGTGATTATTCCTCTTTTTTCCATCAGTTAACAGTTACCGAAACTACCCCCAGAGGTTTTAACCTAATCTGCAACTGTTCGTAATATTTCACGTAGGAAGAAATGGACCGTAAAAATGGCTACTGGTGGTCCCTCGACAGTAAATACATTGCATTTACCGAGGTAGACTCCTCGAACTTGCCCTTTTACCGAATCATGCACCAGGGAAAGAGCTCGGTTGGCGCAGATGCCGAGGAAGACCACGCGTACCCTTTTGCCGGCTGTCTTAACGTAAAAGTCCGTCTTGGCGTGGTCCCATCCTCCGGTGGGCCTGTCTCGTGGATGGATCTCGTCTGCGGAGGCGAAGACAGCTCGGACGAGGAATATCTGGCCCGAGTCAACTGGATGCATAGCAATATTCTTACAGCCCAAGTCCTGAACCGAACACATTCCATCCTTAAAATCATCAAATTCGACATCAAGACCGGTCAACGAACGGTCATCCTGGAGGAAGAAAACGAGATATGGGTCAATCTGCATGACTGCTTCACACCGCTCGATAAGTTGCCTAACAGGCCCTCCTCGAGCGGTGGATTCATTTGGGCGAGCGAGAAAACGGGCTTCAGACACTTGTACTTGCACGATATAGACGGGTCTTGCGTGGGGCCCATCACTCGAGGCGAGTGGATGGTCGAGCAGGTCGCGGGAGTGAACGAAGCCTCTGGTCTCGTTTATTTCGTCGGGACTTTGGATTCGCCTCTTGAATCTCACCTTTACTGTGCCGATTTATTTCCGGCGGGACCTTCCTTGCGGGCCCCCGTGAGATTGACGATCGGGAAGGGTAAGCACGCGGTCGTTCTCGATCACCAGCTGAGGAGGTTTGTCGATGTCTACGACTGCTTGGAATCGCCTCCGAAGATTACGGTCCGCTCGTTGCTCGACGGGGGCTCGATCGTGTCGCTCTACGAGCAGCCGGCTGATATCGGGAGGTTCCGGAAGCTTCCGCTTGAGCCGCCTGAGATCGTTCAGTTTGAGGCGGCAGACGGGACGACGACTCTGTATGGTGCTCTGTACAAGCCCGATGCATCGAGGTTTGGGCCCCCGCCTTATAAAACGATGGTTCATGTGTATGGTGGGCCCAGCGTGCAGCTCGTGTGCGATTCTTGGGTGAACACGGTCGATATGAGGGCCCAGTACTTGCGTAGCAAGGGCATATTAGTCTGGAAGGTAAATATATTTGTTCTTTTCACCTTAACACTTTTTTCATTTTTTTTTTTTT